TACAAATTTTTAGCTGGGGTGCCCAAACTTTCGATCCCCACTGTATATTTCATCAGTGGAAACACCATGGTTTTCATTATGGTAATTATTTATTCCAGTTGGTAATCTCCATGATATTTATGAGAAGTTGATACAATAACATTTGTCTGTTCATTTTAGAAACCTAATCATTGTAATCCTATGAAAACATTTCATTCAAGGAATATCGGCGGATTGAAATTGGCCATATACTGTGAATCAACTACAATTCATCTATATGATATTAATGATTTGCCAAGAAGGTAATATGCCAATATAGCATTTATACAATGACTTTCTGTGGCCATATGATTCAAATTCAGGATCTATCTTGATATAGCAAGCTAATGACAGAAGTTTAGCAAACTCAAAGGCTTCATGTATTCATTATTTATTTATTCTCCAGGACTTTTGACGTATATGCTTCCATCACCAAAATAGGATTGGAAGAAATTTTTGATACCCTAAAGATAAAAGATACAGATTGAATACGGAAGATTTACATATAACTGGATTTTTTATATGGACTTTCCATAATGAATACAGAAGTAGTATTTACCTATTTCATCTGGCTCATGTGTCACTTATGCAGCTAAGTGGAAAACGCAGAACTTTTTTTATTTTTATGATTGACACTGTGTTCACCATGATATAATGTCTACCTTTTCATGATCCATGTGATCTTAATAAATACTATTGCATCCATTAATATAGTGATCATTACTCCGCATAGGATTCGTAATATTCCGCTTTGTGGCAGGTCTGCTCTTGTCAGCTGCTAATATTTATTTATATGCTTTCTTGGTTTAAGAATCCACACCCCAATAGTGGTGAGTCAGAGATATACTTATGAAGGGGTGATTACACCCAATTTTTATGGCATTTTTTCTCTTGTGCATAATGCTGATGTGGCCCGCCATGAAATTGAGTTGGACACCCCTGCACTAAACTGAGCATGTGTAGAGTGACTTCTAGAACCCTGTACTCTCAGTAGATGGATTGGGGACAGTAGAAGAAGGAAAGGATCAGAGAAGAGGGGATCAAACAGACTTTTTACACAATGCGAAGGATTAACCCCTTAGGTTCCACAGGGAGTATAACAAGAATCCTTTACTGCATATACAGACTGATTTTACTGTTGTGGGTTTAGTAATAATTATTTCATTGTGTTTGTGTCACATACCTGATGGGAGACTGAAATAATGAGGTCAGCCTCACTTGTGTCACTAGCCCTGACCCCGCTGGAGTTGGAACAGAGGGAGTCTAGGACCCAGGGGAACAAGAGTGCCAGTAGTTGTTGTTTGCAGCTCTTGCAGATGATGACCTTGGAAGGCTGATGATCCTCTGATTTTGGCACAGTAGTAGTAGGCAGAGCAGGTTTTGTAGATTGCCAGGCATGCACCAGAGCAAGGCAGGTAGTGAGGACAAGAGACAGGAGCAGTGTCATGGGATAGCCAGGGTCATCAACAGTCGGGCAGCACGGTACAGAATCAGAAGGAAAAGCCAAGGTCAGGAGCAGAGCCGAAGTCAGGAACCAGTATCAATCAGGAGAGCAATCAGAGTCAGGTGAGGAACAAGCTGGGTCAGCAACAAAGGAATCACACAGGAACAAGCAGGACATGGGGGAGCTGAAGACCAGTTAGCACTTAACATGCGCATGTGCGTGTGCGCAATCGTGCATTTCTGCGCGCATGCGCACAACCGGCAATTCTCCTGCGGGAATTCCTATGCACATGCGCATTTCCTATTGCTGTTCGTCTTGCCAGAAATCCCTTACAGTTTGTATGCTTTATACATCGTATGTATTTCTTATCTGTTTTTTTTCGAACGTTTCACCTACACTGCTTTGTTAATAAAACATCAAGATCAAGATGTCGGATTACATACAGGGAAACATGTAGCTAGGACAGAACACCTGCACAGAAGATTTGTACATGATCCTGCTGCCTGTACAACGTGGGGCATACTTCACAGCCTACACTTTCATTTTATAACATCAGCATTGTAATAACAATACAAATGTAGCGTACACCTGAAGGAGCCACTAATTTAGTAATCCCTCTGGGTTATTCTTCTTTCACTGAACTGATTAGTGTAATATCTTGACCATTCTGACACATCCTTTACACAAAGAAACCGCACCAGTTTAAAATGTATTGGATGTACAGGTGAAACTCGAAAAATTAGAATATCGTGGAAAAGTTCATTTATTTCAGTAATGCAACATAAAAGGTGAAACTAATATGTGAGATAGACTCATTACATGCAAAGCAAGATAGTTTAAGCCATGATTTGTCATAATTGTGATGATTATGGCTTACAGCTCATGAAAATCCCAAATCCACAATCTCAGAAAATTAGAATATTACATGCAATCAATAAAACAAGGATTGTACATAGAACAGTATCGGACCTCTGAAAAGTATAAGCATGCATATGTACTCAGTACTTGGTTTGGACCCCTTTCGCAGCAATTACTGCCTCAATGCGTCGTTGCATGGAAGCTATCAGCCTATGGCACTGCTGAGGTGTTATGGAAGACCAGGATGTTTCAATAGCAGCCTTCAGCTCTTCTGCATTGTTCGGTCTCAAGTCTCTCATCTTTCTCTTGGCAATGCCCCATAGATTCTCTATGGGGTTCAGGTCAGGCGAGTTTGCTGGCCAATCAAGCACAGTAATCCCACGGTCATTGAACCAGGTTTTAGTGCTTTTGGCAGTGTGGGCAGGTGCCAAGTCCTGCTGGAAAATGAAGTCAGCATCCCCATAAAGCTCGTCTGTGGAAGGAAGCATGAAGTGCTCCAAAATCTCCTGGTAGACGGCTGCGTTGACCCTGGACTTAATGAAGCACAGTGGAGCAACACCAGCAGATGACATGGCTCCCCAAATCAACACACACTGTGGAAACTTCACACTGGACTTCAAGCAACTTGCAGTGTGTGCCTCTCCATTCTTCCTCCATACTCTGGGTCCTTGGTTTCAAAATGAAATGCAAAAGTTGCTCTCATCAGAAAAGAGGACTTTGGACCACTGAGCAACAGACCAGGTCTGTTTTTCTTTAGCCCAGGTAAGACACTTCTGACGTTGTTTGTTGTTCAAGAGGAATATGACATTTGAAGCCCATGTCCAGGATCCGTCTGTGTGTGGTGGCTCTTGATGCACTGACTCCAGCCTCAGTCCACTTCTTGTTAAAGTCCCCAACACTTTTGAATGGCCTTTTCCTGACAATCCTCTCCAGGCTGCGGTCATCCCTGCTGCTTGTGCACCATTTTCTTCCACACTTTTCCCTTCCACATAACTCTCTTTTAATGTGCTTTGATACAGCACTTTGGGAGCATCCAACTTCTTTTGCAATTACCTTTTGAGGCTTTCCCTCCTTATGGAGGGTGTCAATGATGGTGTCAGGAATGGACTGGCCAGCAATAGTGGGACTCAGCTGCCTTATGAGCTGCAGTACCAGGGCTGGCCAGCGGTGCTCCCAGCAATCAGAGACTCAACCTTGCAGCCAGTCAAACACCTGGAACTAATTATACTGGTGTATTTAAGGGACATTCAGACCTGCAGACTCTGCCTTGGTGTTGTGTTTCTCTCTTGGCCCTGTATCCTGTTCCTGCTCTCTGTTCCTGTCTGATTCTCTGCTGACCCTGCTCTGATCCCTGGCTTGTCTGACCATTCTCCTCTGCCTGACCCTCTGTACCACGCTGCCCGCTACCTGCTGAACCTGGCCTGTGACCCCGACCATTCTCCGCTTGCTCCCCCTGTACCTACCTGCCCGACTGATATTGACCCGGCCTGCCTGACGACGCTTGCATTGTATGTACTGTTATCTGTGGGTGGTTGGTTGGTTTGTTTGCACTGTGTTATGTTTTAGTATTGCACTGCGTTTATGTTTGTATGGTTAGTGTTAATAAATTACATTGTTTATAACATATCTGAAGTCTGCGTTTCCCTGCGTCAGTCACACACCTCTGGTCATACCCGGGAGCCCTGACATTACACCAAGGCCAATCCTGACCAGAAGTGGCTGCACAGGGAAGCCATCTTGGCTTGTTGATGGGAAGGATGGATCTGGATGAGGTTGCGTATTTATATCTGCTAGTGTTTGATGACAGGGAGTATGCTTATCAAACTCTGAAGGAGTATACCCGGGATGAACTGCTAGAATGTATACGGCTCGCTCATGTTCTAGTAGATCAGGGCACAGAGTTCTCTGAGGTGCAGCCTTTGATTGAGGTTTGTGCTGAGTTGGTTTCATCTGGTATCCCCGAATGCAGGGATGAATTTTTGCCCCCATTTAGTGCAGACCAGGTAGAGTCCCTGGTGTGGTTATTAGAGGATGATGTGGGTTACTTTCTGGAGCGGTATTCCACATGTTCACCACAGACACTAAGAGATTGTATAAACGCAGTGCAGTCATTGACCAGACAGGCTTTGTGTAAGCTCAGCTTTGTTCAACCCATACTGCAGATATGGACAGACTTGTTGCACCCAGCCTCAGTCAGCTTACAAAAACCCAGTCCTGCTTCTAATCTATTTCCTCAAAGCTCTATTCCTGCATTCCCAACAGCTCCTCCTGCCCTGCTATCTACCGCATGTCAGTACCCTGTTCCCACTCGCTGCACCTATCCTGCCTTTAACCCTGTAAAAAAGCCCTCGGTAGCAACTGCTCCCTCTCCTGTTCCATCCTCCATTCTTCTCTGTCTCCAGCTGCTCCATTCGTTTGCAGACCTGCGTTTACTTGCAGTGCTCCAGTAGTTAAAACCAGAAAAAAGCGAAAATTCTTTCCAACCAATACCATCCTGCCAGTATCCAAACCGGTGAACCTGCCTTCCGTGGTTCAGCCTGAAGCCTCTACTCAGCCTGATGCCTGTACTCAGCCTGATGCCTGTACTCAGCCTGATGCCTGTACTCGGCCTGATGCCTCTACTCGGCCTGATGCCTGTACGCAGCCTGATGCCTCTCTTCAGCCTGAAGCCTCTACTCGGCCTGAAGCCTCTACTCGGCCTGAAGCCTCTACTCAGCCTGAAGCCTCTACTCAGCCGGACGCCGGCATTCAGCCTGATGCCTCTACCCAGCATGATGAACTGATCCAGCCTGGCGATCCTATTAGGCCAGTTGACTCGATGCCCGCTGTTGATCCAGATGATCCGGTACCTGATCCGGCGCCCGCCGCTCCGCCTGAGGGCCCGAGACCTGTCGCTCCGCCTGGGGGTCCGGCGCCCGCCGCTCCGCCTGAGGGCCCGAGACCTGTCGCTACGCCTGGGGGTCCGGCGCCCGCCGCTCCGCCTGAGGGCCCGAGACCTGTCGCTCCGCCTGGGGGTCCGGCGCCCGCCGCTCCGCCTGAGGGCCCGAGACCTGTCGCTCCACCTGGGGGTCCGGCACCCGCCGCTCCGCCTGGGGGTCCGGCGCCCGCCGCCCCGCCTGGGGGCCTGAGATCTGTCGCTCCGCCTGAGGGCCCGAGACCTGTCGCTCCACCTGGGGGTCCGGCGCCCGCCGCTCCGCCTGAGGGCCCGAGACCTGTCGCTCCGCCTGGGGGCCTGAGACCTGTCGCTCCGCCTGGGGGTCCGGCGCCCGCCGCTCCGCCTGAGGGCCCGAGACCTGTCGCTCCACCTGGGGGTCCGGCGCCCGCCGCTCCGCCTGAGGGCCCGAGACCTGTCGCTCCACCTGGGGGTCCGGCGCCCGCCGCTCTGCCTGAGGGCCCGAGACCTGTCGCTCCATCTGGGGGTCCGGCGCCCGCCGCTCCGCCTGAGGGCCCGAGACCTGTTGCTCCGCCTGGGGGTCCGGCGCCCGTTGCCCCGCCTGGGGCCCGATGCCTGTTGCCCCGCCTGGGGGCCCGATGCCTGTTGCCCCGCCTGGGGGCCCGATGCCTGTCGCCCCGCCTGGGGGCCCAATGCCTGTCGCCCCTCCTGGGGGCCCGGCGCCCGCCGCTCTGCCTGGGGGCATGATGCCTGTCGCCCCGCCTGGGGGCCCGACGCCTGTCGCCCGCCTGGGGGCCCGACGCCTGTCGCCCCTCCTGGGGGCCCGACGCCTGTCGCCCCTCCTGGGGGCCCGATGCCGGTCGCCCCGCCTGGGGACCCGATGCCGGTCGCCCCGCCCGGGGGCCCGATGCCTGTTGCCCCGCCCGGGGGCCCGCTGCCTGCTGCTCCGCCCGGGGGCCGCTGCCTGCTGCTCCGCCTAGGGGCCCGGTGCCTGCTGCCCCGCCTGGTGGCCCGCTGCCTGCTGCTTCGCCTGGTAATCCGATGTGCCTCTGCCCGGAGTCCTGCCCGATGTGCCTCTGCCCGGATCCTGCCCGATGTGCCTCTGCCCGGAGTCCAGCCCGGTGTGCCTCTGCCCGGTGTGCCTCTGCCCGATGTGCCTCTGCCCGATGTGCCTCTGCCCGGAGTCCAGCCCGATGTGCCTCTGCCCGGAGTCCAGCCCGATGTGCCTCTGCCCGGAGTCCAGCCCGATGTGCCTCTGCCCGGAGTCTAGCCCGATGTGCCTCTGCCCGGAGTCCTGCCCGATGTGCCTCTGCCCGGAGTCCAGCCCGATGTGCCTCTGCCCGGAGTCCAGCCCGATGTGCCTCTGCCCGGTGTGCCGCTGCCCGGAGTGCCTCTGCCCGGAGTCCAGCCCGATGTGCCTCTGCCCGGAGTCCAGCCCGATGTGCCTCTGCCCGGAGTCCTGCCCGATGTGCCTCTGCCCGATGTGCCGCTGCCCGGAGTCCTGCCCGGTGTGCCAGTCTTTGATATCCCGCCAGTTACCAGACCCGGGCGGTGGAACATTTTGCCCAGCTAGGACTGTTTGGAGCGTCCTGAGGCCGCTCCTTGAGGGGGGGGGTACTGTCAGGAATGGACTGGCCAGCAATAGTGGGACTCAGCTGCCTTATGAGCTGCAGTACCAGGGCTGGCCAGCGGGTGCTCCCAGCAATCAGAGACTCAACCTTGCAGCCAGTCAAACACCTGGAACTAATTATACTGGTGTATTTAAGGGACATTCAGACCTGCAGACTCTGCCTTGGTGTTGTGTTTCTCTTGGGCCCTGTATCCTGTTCCTGCTCTCTGTTCCTGTCTGATTCTCTGCTGACCCTGCTCTGATCCCTGGCTTGTCTGACCATTCTCCTCTGCCTGACCCTCTGTACCACGCTGCCCGCTACCTGCTGAACCTGGCCTATGACCCCGACCATTCTCCGCTTGCTCCCCCTGTACCTACCTGCCCGACTGATATTGACCCGGCCTGCCTGACGACGCTTGCATTGTATGTACTGTTATCTGTGGGTGGTTGGTTGGTTTGTTTGCACTGTGTTATGTTTTAGTATTGCACTGCGTTTATGTTTGTATGGTTAGTGTTAATAAATACATTGTTTATAACATATCTGAAGTCTGCGTTTCCCTGCGTCAGTCACACACACCTCTGGTCATACCCGGGAGCCCTGACAGATGGTTTTCTTCACAACTGTTGGGTCAGCAGTCTTTCCCATGATTGTGATTCCTGCTGAACCAGACTGGGAGACCATTTAAAGGCTCAGGAACCCTTTGCAGGTGTTATGGCTTAATTAGCTGATTAGAGTGGGACACTTTGAGTCTAGAATATTGCACCTTTTCACAATATTCTAATTTTCTGAGATTGTGGAGTTGGTGTTTTCATGAGCTGTAAGCCATAATCATCACAATTATGACAAATCACGGCTTGAACTATCTTGCTTTGCATTTAATGAGTCTATCTCATATATTAGTTTCACCTTTTAAGTTGCATTACTGAAATAAATGAACTTTTGCATGATATTCTAATTTTTCGAGTTTCACCTGTAAGTGAGTAAATAAAGACAAGCTCTTTCAATTATAATCACAATGTTATAAACATTTATAACTATGCAATGTAGTCTTAAACATGGAGACTTTTTTTTTTATGAAAGATTACTGAGGCCAGATTCCACCACGTTTATAACTTGACCTGTAACAGGACCACCAGAGTAGCTACAACAACTAAAAAAAAAAACTTCAGAGAGCTAACACAATACAGTCAGGTCCATAAATATTGGGACACTGACACAATTCTAACATTTTTGGCTCTTTACACCACCACAATGGATTTGAAATGAAACGAACAAGATGTGCTTTAACTGCAGACTGTCAGCTTTAATTTGAGGGTATTTACATCCAAATCAGGTGAACGGTGTAGGAATTACAACAGTTTGCATATGTGCCTCCCACTTGTTAAGTGACCAAAAGTAATGGGACAATTGGCTTCTCAGCTGTTCCATGGCCAGGTGTGTGTTATTCCCTCATTATTACAATTACAATGAGCAGATAAAAGGTCCAGAGTTCATTTCAAGTGTGCTATTTGCATTTGGAATCTGTTGCTGTCAACTCTCAAGATGAGATCCAAAGAGCTGTCACTATCAGTGAAGCAAGCCATCATTAGACTGAAAAAACAAAACAAACCCATCAGAGAGATAGCAAAAACATTAGGCGTGGTCAAAACAACTGTTTGGAACATTCGTAAAAAGAAGGAATGCACCGGTGAGCTCAGCAACACCCATAGACCCGGAAGACCACAGAAAACAACTGTGGTGGATGACCCAAGAATTCATTCCCTGGTGAAGAAAACACCCTTCACAACAGTTGGCCAGATCAAGAACACTCTCCAGGAGGTAGGTGTATGTGTGTCAAAGTCAACAATCAAGAGAAGACTTCACCAGAGTGAATACAGAGGGTTCACCACAAGATGTAAACCATTGGTGAGCCTCAAAAACAGGAAGGCCAGATTAGAGTTTGCCAAACGACATCTAAAAAAGCCTTCACAGTTCTGGAACAACATCCTATGGACAGATGAGACCAAGATCAACTTGTACCAGAGTGATGGGAAGAGAAGAGTATGGAGAGAAGTAAAGGAACTGCTCCTGATCCTAAGCATACTACCTCATCAGTGGAGCATGGTGGTGGTAGTGTCATGACGTGGGCATGCATGGCTGCCAATGGAACTGGTTCTCTTGTATTTATTGATGATGTGACTGCTGACAAAAGCAGCAGGATGAATTCTGAAGTGTTTCGGGCAATATTATCTGCTCATAATCAGCCAAATGCTTCAGAACTCATTGGACGCCGCTTCACAGTGCAGATGGACAATGACCCAATGCATACTGCAAAAGCAACCAGAGTTTTTTAAGGGAAAGAAGTGGAATGTTATGCAATGGCCAAGTCAATCACCTGACCTGAATCCGATTGAGCATGCCTTTCACTTGCTGAAGACAAAACTGAAGGGAAAATGCCCCAAGAACAAGCAGGAACTGAAGACAGTTGCAGTAGAGCAGAGCATCACGAGGGATGAAACCCAGCGTCTGGTGATGTCTATGTGTTCCAGACTTCAGGCTGTAATTGACTGCAAAGGATTTGCAACCAAGTATTAAAAAGTGAATGTTTGATTTATGATTATTATTCTGTCCCATTACTTTTGGTCCCTTAACAAGTGGGAGGCACATATGCAAACTGTTGTAATTCCTACACCGTTCACCTGATTTGGATGTAAATGCCCTCAAATTAAAGCTAACATTCTGGAGTTAAAGCACATCTTATTCATTTCATTTCAAATCCATTGTGGTGGTGTATAGAGCCAAAAATGTTAGAATTGTGTCGATGTTCCAATATTTATGGACCTGACTGTAAGTAGTGAGACCAGTGCTAATAGAAGATTGTCCCCAAACTGTCTTTTTTCTTTTGTTTTTCTTTTTAGTTGAGGCCCTTCTTTGACGGTGCACAAATGGTGAATCTTGGTTAGAGCCATCAGTCCTTGTAGAGGTGTTTATAGGGTGATACTTTAGAAAAGAAATAGAATAACTGATAGGTGAAGATACTATAAAAAGAGGAAAGGGAAGGAGGCTGCACAAGGCAGACTCATTGTCCATATGGTTTTACTGATACCATATAGGGCACTGAAATAAACCATAAAAGACCCTACCAATTGGAACTTGTGGTGGTTTATGTAAGAATTTATTTTAAATACGTGGGGCGGTGTCCTTTCCCTTAAATAAAATATTGCAGTGCCTCCAGCCATTAAAATATGGCAAATGTTTAATGAACCAATAATTTGGACACCTTAATAATTTGATCACCACTTAATAATATACCTTGAGTTCTTTTAGCCAGTATGATTTCGTACCATATACACAAAAATTGCCTTTTTAATAAATAAATACATTTATTTATGTACAAAATTTATATATATATTAATACAAACGCAAAATACTGGTGATAAATAGATATAGATAATAGTAAATAGATGAAAAAAATAATCAAATTTATGTATAAGTTGTAACCTTATAGTGCTTCAGAAATTATTTCAATTTTCTCGTGGCCATAGAGAAAAAAGAAAAGTCTTTCTGATAAATTGCACTACAACAAAAACTACCAATCAGTTAAATGCAAGATCTAATTTCAATATCAAAATCAAATAATTTTTAGTTAGAATGATGTATATGATCTTAATATTCCTAAACACACAATACAAACGCTATAAATCTATGGAAAATTAGAAATATCAAATAAACTACAGTATCCTAGCAATCTTACCACTCCTAGAACCTTGGTTTTGAGGCCTTCTCAGTGGAATACAGTTGGGCCTTCAAATGGTCCTCAAGACAAAATGGCAGCTGGACTCCTTCAGCAAAATATAAGGCAGTAGGTGTTAGCAATAGGATAGATGAGATATTGTCAGGAATCCCCGCTGCGACGGGCTCGGCGCAGGCGCAGTGCACCGCCCCGTGTCAGAATGCGGGCACTGAGACCTGGCAGTAGGGACCGCGGGCGCGTGCGTGGCACCAATGGCAGCGCAGGGCGGGATATTTAAACGGCCCTGAGCTGTCATTCAGTGCCTTCTGGTCTTTCCTTGTATCCTGTATCTGCGAACCTGTTCTAAGTAAGTTATTGACCCGGATTGTACCTGACCTTGTTGCCTTCTCCTGCCCAGACCCTTGCTTTGCCTGGCCTCTCTCCTGAATGCCCCCGTTTGGATCTGACCTTCCGTTGCTGACCTGGCGTGTGACCCGACTACTCTCTGCCCGCTGCCTTGTACTGCTCCGTCCCCACTGTTACCGACCCGGCCCGTTTGACCCCGCACTTGCTCAGCCATCCATCCATCCATCCCGATGGGATCACCCGACCTCCTCACATCAGGCTCTTCCCTGCGGGAGCCCCTGGCGAATACCGCTACCACTGACAGGCGTGCTCAGTAGCCACGACCTGGTCTCGGGGTACCTCAAGTCCATCCCCACCATCAGGGGCTCTGGTGAACACGTACCCTGGGGCTTAGATACCGTGCGCTGGGGACGCCTGGCCAGTGGAGTGCTAGTGGTACCGCCTGGTGGTCCCTTACAGATATATTGGAAGTTATTAGCAGCCTAGATTGTAGTGTTATAGGAGAAGTGTAGAAGTTTAGAGGTTCAGAAGTTTAGCAGAAGTTTTAAAAGATTTAG